GCTGGATGCAGGCCGCTATTGCCGCTACCAACCTGTAATTAAAATTTAGCCTGGCCATCCAGCGTGGCAATGTGGCCAGCCTTCTGGGCACCTTCCCCCAAGACAGCGGATTAAACGAAATGTTTCATTTATAAGCCTTGTATTTTATTTTATATTTAACTAGCGGCCGCCCGCGACTTCGTACGCGTGGATCCCGTTTTACCCCCTTCATCTATCTTACGCGGTTTAGATTTTTTCATACAAATGTTTTTTCCCGCTAACTCCCGTTCCCGTTGGAATTTCGCAATATCCTGTTGTAACTAAGCTTTAAGTTTACTAAGGGACCTGCATGCCAAATTTCAAGCGTCTAACTTAAGCGGTTTAGATTTTTCATACGAAAGGATTTTCCCGGTAATTCCTGTTCCTGTGGGAATTTCGGGAATTCCTTTCTTAGTGCACCTCTACGGTACCTAAGCTACGTCCCTTATAAATTTCAAGTGCCTACGTTTAGCCGTTTAGGCTGTGCGTGGGTATGTCAGTGAGTCAGTCATACAAAAAGAATTTACCGCTAATTCCAGTTCCCGTGGTAATTTTGCAATATTCTGTTGTAACTAAGCTTTAAGTTTACTAAGGTACCTGCATGCCAAATTTTAAGCATGTAACTTACGCGGTTTAGATTTTTCATACAAATGTTTTTTCCCGCTAACTCCCGTTCCCGTTGGAATTTCGCAATATCCTGTTGTAACTAAGCTTTAAGTTTACTAAGGGACCTGCATGCCAAATTTCAAGCGTCTAACTTAAGCGGTTTAGATTTTTCATACAAAAGGATTTTCCCGCTAATTCCCGTTCCCGTGGGAATTCCTAAGTATCCTATAACCTGCCCAGGAGTATGAAGAATAATTGTACCAAGTTTCGTTAAAATCCGTCGAGTAGTTTTTGTTTCTATAAGGAACATACAGACAGACAGACAGACAGACAGACAGACAGACAGACAGACAGACAAAAATTTTACTGATTGCATTTTTGGCATCAGTATCGATCACTAATCACCTATAATATTATTTTGAAAATATATTTCATGTACAGAATTGACCTCTCTACAGATTTATTATAAGTATAGATTTTTAATTAGGTTTAGGTTAGGTTAATTAAGTAGTCAACTTAAAATGTATTTTTTTATTTTGGCAAATAAACTTTAACACCTTTAATTATGGAAATCATTGGGGGAGGCCTATGTTCAGCTGTGGACGTCCTATGGCTGAAATGATTAAAGTTAAGATGAGGGAAGTGGAACCCCACCAGGCCGGACAAAATGACGTACAAACATACTGTTAGTAGATATAATTTTAATGGTTTCCGCATCTGAAATAATCGGAGTAAATCACGATGAATGTGATTATGTGTTTATTATCCTCACGAAGTGTATTATTATGTAGAGCGATCTGGGAAAATAGGAATGGGCTTAAATTAGGCATGGAACATTTCATGAATAGCAGGTGAAAAATCATATGAAATGAATTTCATTAATCACACCTGCTATTTTACTTCACATAGACTGCTATAATTTCACAGTCAACGAAATCACGAATCACATGAATTTCATTCATTCATTCGAGCGAAGTTCGTGAGCAGCTCTGCGAAGCGACCGAGCGAGTAAGAAGGAATGATTTGATCATGTGCGTGTTAGAAAAGGACAAGAGATGTGATGACGGACGAAACTGGTCATTTTAAATATGAACTTTAAACTCAAAGGTGTAAGGTTTAGATTTCCTTGTCATGATTCGTGTGATTTCATTAGATAGCAGGCAGATGAAATGAATGATTTCCATTAGTCACGCGGTTATTAATGTGTTGTGAAACTGTTTGTTTTTTGTTGTGCGACATAAATGAAACAGATATTGTTACATTTCATATTTTAGCTAATTAGCAATCCTTCATCATAATTCACATTATATAAAAGAGTTACATTAAAACACTGCTAATAAAAATCATTGCCTGTGAAATTTCGCATGTGAAATCATATCAAAGGGGTTACCTACGTGAGTGCGACAAACGTTACATCGAATTTTGTTTCTTCGAAAACCTTTCTGCGAAGTTACTATACTGCGACGCCTTGTTATATCGATGCCTTGTTACTGCGATGTTACGTTACATCGAAAAACTTTACTGCGAACGATTTTACTGCGAAATTATGTACATAGTCATTTTTAATGAACGAGTGAGTAGTAAGTATCATTATAAAAATGCAAATCAATAGGTAGGCATATATTTTATAATTTATTTATATTTATGTTTCTATTCTCATGTTATTTAATCAATGATGCAACTGTTAAATATGTGTAATAAGTAAATAAAATTTAATGTATTTAGAATCTTATTTTATCTTTAATTTTGTACCGCCCACTTTATTCACTTTATTCTGTTACCTGGAGGAGAGTTCTGAATCACATTAAGTTCGCCTTGTGTACATAGTGCATGTATGTTTTAAATAAATAAATACATAATGCATTATATTAGGTAGGTATTCTTTTGATGTATGTAATTTAATTTTTTTATCTATCTGTTAAGTCAAATAAAGAAGGCTTCGCAGTAAAATCGTTCGCAGTAAAGTTTTTCGATGTAACGTTACATCGCAGTAACAAGGCATCGATATAACAAGGCGTCGCAGTATAGTAACTTCGCAGAAAGGTTTTCGAAGAAACAAAATTCGATGTAACGTTTGTCGCACTCACGTAGGTAACCCAAAAAGAATCATCATTTCATAGAATGAAAATGAATGAAAAATAGCAATCATTTCCATGCCTAGCTTAAATGCATAATTTACTGCATTTACGAGCGATGAGTGACGATAATTTGGGCTTTATGAGTCCATAATTACATATCTGTGGTAGATTTTGATGCCCGTATACACAAACATTACTATGAGGTCTCACAGTGCTCGTGGACGCACAGGGTGACACACGAACCAATCACAGAGCTCTACTCAACGATATGCGTTCGATTTGCTGCTTCACTTAAGCAAGCATCGTTTGTGAATACGGGCGTTATTCTGGATTCTGGGTTCGATTTCCAACTATTTTTGTGCTAGTTATTGTTCTTAAAGAACGAAATTTTAATAGGAAAATTTTACGAGATGAAACATGAAAAAAATCTATCAATCTAATAGCAGCCTTAGGTTCGTCTTCCTATAGGTTCTTAGGTTCGGTACCTAGTTAAAAATAGCTTCCAGCGACCATCACAATACACACACAGGTAACGCAGATATGGCCTTATAGACGAGTAAATTAAAAGTCATTCATAAATTGCAAGTCATTATTATAATGGGTAACTATTTACTACATAACAATTAATCGAAAAACTTTAGCAATGCAATTTCGAAAGTAAAATCAATGGTAAGTAACAGAGGGTCCTTTTCCCTCCATTTCATAATTTTCAATGTCATCGCGCCTGTTATCGGTATACTCCTGTCCCTTTCCCTCATACCTCTCTCCCTTACTATTCATATCATCGTTATACTCCTGCGCCGTTTTATTTGCTTTATCGCTATCCAGGTTTCTATTATCGTTGAGGTGTTCCTCGTTGTTTTTGTTGTGTTCGTCTAATTTTTCTTTGTTTTTGTCGTATTCCTCTCCAGCTTCCTTGTTGTAGGCGTCTCGTTCCCCTTCGTAATATTCTCGGTCGTTTTCGTATTGTTGTTCGGTGTTCTCTCTGTTTTCTTGTCTGAGGAAATTTTGAAAGTCATGAAAAGTCAAACTAGGTACTACCACAGTACTACTACTTTTACTATGAAATCAATACTAATATTTTAAATGCGAAAGTAACTCTGTCTGTCTGTCTTTCACGCCAAAATCACAGAACCGATTTTGATGAAATTTGGCATAGTTTGAGTCCCGGGAAAGGACAAAGGATAGTTTTTATCCCGGTTTTTGAAACAGAGATGCGCGCGATAAAGTTTTTCTGTGACAGACAAAATTCCACGCGGGCGAAGCCGCGGGCGGAAAGCTAGTAAGTTATAATAGAAGAAAATCATAAATCTTTTGAAAAGTAACATGTATGATTTTGTGAAGATTACTAATTCATTCTCCTTCCATTGTTCTCTTGGTGCTTAATGTTACATAGAGTGTCAAGTCATAAAGGCCATTTCATCATCATCATTTCAGCCACAGGACGTCCACTGCTGAACATAGACCTCACCCAACCAATAGGTCATATTTTATCTTCTACAAATAATTAGGCTGTGTTGACTTGCACCACCTAACTTTGACCGTAACGATAACGATAACCGGTGTTTTTTCCATGGAATTTGACAGATAACTTAACTTTGTAATTTTCCATGGAACTTCAAAGTTAAAGTAAGATGGTGCAACCCAGCCTTAGGCTTTTAAAACGACTTTTTACACATCCCAGTTTTTTTTTACTTTTACCACTCCTACCACTACTTCAGGACAGTAATGTGTGTAAGCATCATTGAAATTAAAAACCGCACAAGTTCATGTACTTCAATTAAAATTAAACCAACCTTTCTTCCTCCATCTTGTCTAGCTGCCCCTGCCCCTTCTCCCCTTCCCCCTGCCAGTACTCCTCCTCATCTTGTCTCTGGTCGTTGAACTCCTGGCTGCTATTCTCCCTATGGTAGGAGTAGTCAGGGAACTCTATCTCCATAGTGTCTGGCGATCTGGGTATGCGACTGGTGGAGACTAGTTGAATGTCTGGAAATTCAATAGGTGAGGGATGTTTCCTGGGTCAAAAAGCAAGTTTTAATTAGTCCGTCTCAGTTAACTTATCAAAAAATACTCTACACGTATTTTTCACTTTTTCAAACTAATGAAAATTTAAAGAGATAAAGCTCGCCAAAGTTCATAAGAAGAGGCCCGTGACGTCAATGCGTGCATAAAAGTGCCGCACGTTGTGACGTCGTGCGGAACTTCAACGCACCTTAACTATGTAATTATTTGTTAGATTGACAAATAAAAATATATGTGTCCAATATTTTTTTATATTAAACATGACGGACTAAAAAAATTTTTTTAGGAAACTAGCATATTGGATGGAAAAGATCCATACAGCTAAACTCCAGTTGCAAGTAAGTAATTGATTTATTGCGGAGAAAACTCCGCTGGTGGACAATCAAAATGGTAGGAAAAAGAGAGAGTAAAAACTATAGTGCATCATGAGTGTGTGTGGTGTTGCCAGACGTTATTATTAAATATTTACTAAAGAGTAAGCATCGAAAAACTTTGTTGCTTAATTTTTTGATTGTTGCTGGCCGTTAATTTCAAGATTAAATATTTTCTTCAAATATGTGCCAGAATCATGAAGGTACGAGTATAGTACCAAGTGCTCGAACTTGAAATGAGCATGCTTATTAAACATGCTACTCAGTTGCAATTGCTCAATCGTGGCATGCTTTTATGATTTATTTATTTTATTGGGCTATCAACATGAGATACAGTATTAAACACAATTAAAAAAAATAAACAATTATAAAATAAATAAATGATAATAAATGAGCATGTGTAACTGTACTTTAACTCCATTCTTAACGATTGAAGTATTTAAAAAACATTTGTAGAGTATTGGTTCAATTCTAATAATGGAATGAACTGGCAAAACTGATGATGATAAATTGTTACTTACATAGCACTCCAACTAATATTAGAAAAACTCGTACCGAAGACATTTTGGAAATGTATAAAATTTCATTTTTCTTGCTGTATTTTATACTTGAAAATATAATTACAGTAGGTAGGTACTGTGTTGCATGTTTCGTATCTTATGTTTCAGAAACTTGTGATATGAAACACGCAAGTGTCTCTCCAATTCTTGTATGTGTAGGTAGGTAATTTTGATAATTATCTACAATAGGTATCGAAATGGATTTCTGACCGAGAACTCATATCGTCGAAAATCTTTCAAGTCCATCAATATTTTCTTCTTCTACCTTTCCGGCTTTCCCAATCAAAACCATTAAAAGAATTTTAAAATACTAAATTCTATTGATTTTGAATCTTATGAAACAGCTAACTCGAAAATATTTATGGTTTAGTTGGACTGAACCTAAATTCGACTATAAATAGGTAATCTTTTTATGTCAATGTTAAGAGCAAGAAACTCATCTGACATCATGATAATTAAGTAATGCGTATCTAATCTAACCCTTGATGATTTTTCATATTAGATACAGTAAAAGCCGCCCGTCAAAGCTAGTTACACCACAAAAAATGTTATTGCCTCACTTTGCATGCCTGTATAATTGGTTACCATTATCTTATCTCTTCCATAGTTTAGGCCAAGTATCTTCAAACGTTTGTCACACTTTTCAGTTGCAGTGTTAATTGAAAAATTGCTTAAAACAGCTTTCGTCATGAGCTATCTGAGTTTCTTTGCAGTTGTTGTCATATTTTGGCTTTGTTTGAGCTCCTTTGTTACATTTGGTGAAGGTAAGCCTCTAGATTATTTCATGTTATACTCTTGGTGAATATTATCAATAGAATTTCTAAAGATTTCCTTTAGGTAATTTTAAGGGTTATTATATTTATGTTAAAGTCTAATAAACGGTGCACATGTTTATACCGATTATATTCAACATATTTTTATTGTCATTTTTTAGAATCATCTGAAGAAGAGGCAAGTCCGAGAGAGGAATATATGCACATATTCCAAAACATACCAGTACTCTTCGAATATTTCTTATTTGCACTTCAGGACAAGCCAGAAATTTTAGAAACAGACAATCCCATGGCGTTTAACGATATTAATAATAATAATAATGCCAAAGAATTGGATAAAAGAGATGTTAGCGATGAAAAACAAGCTGCAAGCAAAGATGGATCCAATGCGAGAATTGCTGATGATATATTCGATGAAGTAGAAGGCCTGGATGACCCAGATGGGGCTGATGATGAAACTAGTTCTCAAGCAGCAGACAATCCTAACAGTGAAGTAAAATATACACCAGAAGAAGTAGCGGAAAAATGCTTGATGGTTGAACAGATGCTAGAAGAATATAATAAAAATTAAATGCTTATTAAATACACATTTATTTGCATTCGGGTACATTAGAACGATAGCAAGTTAAAACAGGTTTATCGTTTAAATTTTATTGAATTCAATTGAATCAAGTTTATATTAACACTATCTTTCCTTATAAAATAGTCGAGATAAAACTTTATAATAAGTTAAGAGCTTAATTCCAACAATTGAAATTGTATGATGATTACCAGATAAGTGACAACGTTGCTCAGTATCTGTAAAGATAAATAATAATTAGAGCTCTCGAAAGACTAAAATTGGCTCTTTAATTTTTACACTAGGGATCTATTCAAAGTTGAGACCCATGTGATAGAAGAAGAATAAGTTTCCAGTCTTTTTGAAATTCAGTTAGAATGTATTTACCATATTATTATTACTTAATCTTTTGTCATGACTTTAGTTAGAATTAGGGGACAACATTTGTTTGGTTTTTCTTTCATGATGACTGTGAGCCTTGTTCCTTTCATTGTTTATCAAGCTAATATCATACTTTTTATAAAAGCTACCTGAAGTGTTTTCATGGAAAATTCATAAGTTTTAATTACTTACGGAGGTCAGAAGAGGTCGTCGTAGCGTGCAGATTCCCATCGGGGTGTAGGTGACCTTGTTCATTAGGATATGTCTGTAGAACTTGTCCAGCTCTTCAGATACTTGGATGTCGTGGTTCTGAAGGATCATCTGGCTCACCAGCGTTTGGGTGCGGTCCATCTAGAAAAAGTAGCCATTCTCAACTATAGGTACACTAACGCCTGTATTCACAAACGATGCTTGCTTAAGTGAAGCAGCAAATCGAATGCACAGCGTTGAATAGAGCTTTGTGATTGGTTCATATGACCTTATAGTAATGTTTGTGAATACATTGCAATATCAGACTTTAAAGGTCACTTTTATAATGTTGTTGATTGTGACAGAAACTTTGTTCATGAAAGAAGTTTTTCTTTACCAAGACCTCTCTTCTAGATGGTTCTAAATCTTGATGAAATTTTACGTTATACGGATAGAAAACGTAGCCCAAATATCATAACAATATCCTAGCAACAATGTATTTAAAAGATTTTTGGATTTCCTTATTATGTCTCAAATACATAGACCTTAAAAATAACAAGTACCTACCTCTACCTGCGTCAGGTGAGGGGGCTCGACCACCAATACGGCGCGTGTTATGTGCAGTATGTTCCAAAACAACTCCAGCGTCAGTTGCACGTAGTTCACACGGTCTTTTGTTGCTAAAGAAAAGGTTGTAAGTTATACAGGACCATTTAAAACATCAATAATAATTTTGTAAGTAGGTAAGTACCCAACCGAGAGGTGCTTCTTAGAAACGTATTAAATATTTGAGCCATATTTGAGCTATTGCTACCATATTGAATAAGTAACGCATGTTAAATGATTAATTATTAAGACTGTAACCAAAGAACTTGTCAATGAAGGAGAAAGAAGGTAAAGATACTTAATTTACAGAAAAACTACTAAGAAATTCTTACTCGTAAGATAACATTTCTCACACTTACTAAGGAATGAAATCCACTGGTACGGCGATATTACCAAGTGAAGCAGGACGGACAGCAGCAAAAGGATGAGGATGGCACTGAAGGCCTTCTCCAGCCGCTTCACCACCAGACCAAGGTTGGTATATGCTGATGCAAGGCGATGGATGCTCTCCTCCACTGTCTTAGTAGGGTTGCGGGTAGCTGATACACCTAAGAGGAACAGTGATCATTATACAGACAACAACACAACTGAATATACCTACAGTTTCGTAGTAAAATCAACCCTATCAGAAGGATTAAAACTTCAATCACACCAACGCATGCAAATCGCCGTCGCCGGCGCGATCACAGGCCAATGACAGGTCGCGCGGACTGGCACGCGTTGGTGTGGTTGAAGCATAAATGATGTTTTCCAGGCTCTGGTCTGGCAAAGATCTGGATTACACTTCACAAAAACACAGCATTTCAGTATATACAGATACGGTATTGTTAGTAATCTTAAAGTTCTAAAATGAGGCTGACAACTTTCTGTATGCTTCAGACCACAAATAGATTTGATACATTGTTTTTGGGCGCGAAATAGAGTTTCTCTAGGTATGTGTTGAATTTCCCCAAAATATTATGCCATAGCGCAGAGTGGACACAAAACAAATCCATGATAAGCTGTTAAGACTGTGCTGCGATTTGCTATTTTTGCAAGTTTATAATATATTGCATATGAAAATTTGTACAGTTTTTTACATACCTCAGTCGAGTGTTTAGGAAATTTCCACGACATGTTGCTATCAATATATGTAGATACCCAGAAACTTAGTGGCATGTGTCTCGAGTATAATAATATTTTAATTTTCATAACTTACTGATATTACCTGTACTGACAGTAGCTTCACAGTTCATTTATGAAAACCTAGTTATGCATCCGTCAGCTCCCTCTGCTCTAGACTAAACAAGATAAGTCATCACTTTCCGCTCTACAGTGTAAGCATTCGTAGAATTGTTATTCACATAAGAGATGTGTCAGCAGAACTAAATTGTAAACACCGTACTGGACGACTGCGATCGGCCACAATATTAAATCATTATTAAATCGCCTCCAACTCGGCGAGGACGTGATCACTTAGTTTAATTAAATATAATCCTTTTTAAAAAGCTTCCACCCCGCTCCCGAAATCTGACTGGCGCAGCCGTTCGGATTTATTGCTGCAAGTTTTCCTAAAGTTTACGCGATTGGTGTCAAAATCCGCCGTTTAAATTCGTGATACTACGGGAAACTAATAAATCCGCCGAACCAAATAAATTTGTCATCGAAGTACGGGTGGAACGAGTATGCAGAGAACGGTCGGTTGGTGAGTAGAACTTTTCGCCAATCCTTCCACTCCTTATCCTCTGTGTATTTTTCATGCTTTTTAAATCGTAGGGAAATATTGCTACTCCGGGATAGAACTTCTCCCAGGGTATCGCATTTTGTGTTTTCGTCATAAAACTTTATCGTTAACACTTTTCGTTTAGATTTAAGTGAATTAAATATTGAAACAAAGTAAAGAAAATAAATTGAAATAAAGTAAATAAATTGAAATAAAGTAAAGATAAAAAAAAAAAAAAAATATGTAGGTTTTAAATTTTTTATGAAAAATGATCATTATGGTATCAAATTGTATGAGAAATATTTTCGGACCTCCAATGATAGGAATTGAAAAGTTATGTAAGAAAACGCGCTACCCGTTCGAATACCGCGAGAGATGAGTAGTGTCATCCCCGTCTTCAACGGCGATGAAAAGTTACTTAATTTGTTTATACAGAAGTGTGAATATGTTATTAGGACGTGTAGAGTTGATGGAAACCCGGACCAAGACTTATACGTGTATCACGTAATAACTTCGAGATTAACTGGAAAAGCAGCCACGCTCATTAGCGAGCGCCAAGACATTTCCACCTGGACAGAGCTAAAGCTAGCACTTGAACAGCACTTCGGTGACCCGCGATCCGAAGAATGCATTGCAATTGAGTTAGAAACATTAAAAATTACCAGCAGTGAGTCATATCTAGATTTCTGTAATAGAATACAGCACGTTAAAAGTACATTAATAGCAAAAGTAAATTTAATATCAGACGAAAATTTAAAACGCAGTAAAGCCACCATTTATGACAATTTAGCCATAATTGTTTTCTTATATGATAAGTTGACTTCTCAATTGAGTAATAATCAAGTTATAATATCTAAGAAAATTACCCTGGTCTCAAAAATGTTTGACAGTTTTATAAATATTTTAGAGCAAATAAATAACAACTCTATTATTGATGAACGCATGAAACGAGTTGAAAGCCTATTGCACAAAACATAACGTCCACACAAAACGATTGGACTTTTTCTACATACATACTAGGAGTGTATAACATATTCATTAGTAGTTTCCGTACAATATTTATAAGATTAAGTGAAATAGAAACAGCATTTGCATTAAGTAGAGTATCGATTTTACATCAAGCAATTGTAAACTCTACAGAATTATTGTATCATTTAAAGTTAATTTCAAACTCTGCCAATTTAGTTTACCAGTGTACGGAAAGTAATTTGTTAAATTTAGAAGAAACTATTTGTGTAAAATCTTATATGAAACAGGATCAGATAACATTCATTTTAGAAATACCATTGATAGATAATTATACTTACAATTATTATAATTTTCTCATTTCCTATTTTCCAAGAATCCCAAAACGTCACGCTTTCCATTTTCCCCAAATTTCCTTACCTATTGGCGAAGGGTTTGAAATACTTACCGAGGGTGCGCCAAAGTTCACCTAAATTTTCAACTCCGAAAATTGGAAGTCCGAAAATGTTCTTCCTAAAATTTTTCATCCTAACAATCACAATTCCTAACTACTCTGTCTCTAATGTTCATAATTCCGAATCATTCAACTTCATAATGTCATTAGCAATAAACATCTATTACACTTTTATTTGTTCTCCTAGATTTTCTAAACATAACCATATTTTACACTATTATTCAAAGTCATATCTTTTTTGTTTAGATTTCTTTCTTTAACGATATATTNTAATAACATGTACAGCGAACAGTATTACCCTGATTTCGAGGAAACTCCCGAGGAAACCCAGGAAACTGAATTCCAACAGGATTTTCACGAAACAGCCTCCATCAAAGAACAGAACAGATAAACATTAATTGCGATCCGGAATTAACATTACCATATATTTACCTACCGGAACTGGATGCTCGCATGATGATCGACACTGGCAGCATGCGTTCGTTCTTCAGTCCGCGTATTGGCTATCAGTATTTCAGTACCGGTGATTCACCTACCCGAGCTACCTGTAAACGCAACGCTATCCGGTGCACGCGCACTCAATATGCATGGAATCAATTTGGATGAAATCAAATACATGTCGTACGCCCTGAAACACAGTGCAGCAATCAGTGCTAGTGAAAATGAAACAGACACTTCTTATTTTACATACTTTACATTTATATTAGTTTTGATCCTTTTTATGTTAATTGTATTAATTGCCTTCCGCAAACATATAAAAATTTTATGTAAACGAAATTACCGGAATACTCATAAAAATGAAACTTCC